AGCCCGATGCGGGACTCGATCCCGGGACTCCAGGATCATGACCTGAGCCAAAGGCAGTCGCTTAACCAACTGAGCCACCCAGGCGCCCTGACATCTTCACATTTTTAGTTTTCTAATCGCATTACCTTAAAATTTTTCTCCATTTATCTTAATCTTTTAAAAATTCTCTCAATTGGGGCACCTGGGTGGCTGGCTCAGTCAGTTAAGCCTGCCTTCAGCTCAGGTCATGATCCCAGGGTCCTGGGATCAAGCCCCACATTGGGCTCCTTGCTCAGCCAGAGCCTGCTTTTCCTCCCTCTGCCCCTTTCTCTGCCGCTCCCTCTGCCACTCCCCCTGCTTTGTGCTCTCTCACTCTCACTCTCTCTCAAATAAATATAATCTTTAAAAAAAAAGAATTCCCTCAATAATGTTTTGTAGTTTTCATTTTAGAAATCTTTCATATCTTTAAAAAAAATTATTTTTAGGCATTTGATGTTTTTAATACCATTATAAATGGTATTTTAAAATTGTATTTTCCAAGTATTTGTGGCTAGTACATGAAATTAAAATTGATTTTTGTAGTTTGACCTTATGTCCTTTGACCTTGTCTCAGCTTTTGTTTGTCTGACTTTTGTTAATTTCCTTCATTTTTTCTTTTTTTCAGGTGTTTTGTTAGTTAATCTGAATACATACATATATAGATAGATAGATACCTTTTAGTTACTTCTTAGTGTTTTTTTTTTAAACTGAAGTATACTGGACATACAGTGTTATATTAGTTACAGGTGCACAACATAGTGATTTAATAATTCTATACATTATACTACGCTCACAATCATACAGATGTAATTACCATCTGTCATCATATAATGTTATTACAATATTATGACTAATATTCCCTATGCTATACTTTTCATCCCCGTTATTATTTCTTTATAACTGGAAATTTGTACCTCTTAATACTCTTCACCTATTTGCCCATCCCTTCCAGCCCTGTTCCCTCTGGCAACTGCCAGTTTGTTCTCTGTATTTATGATTATGGAAAAAAGTCTCCTTTATTTTTATTTTTTATTTATGTTTTTTAAAGATTCTATTTATTTGCCAGAGAGAGAGAGAGCACAAGTGCACAGCAGGGGGAGCAGCAGGCAGAGGGAGAAGCAAGCAGAAGGAGACACAGGCTCCCTGCTGAGCAAGGAGCCCCACTGATCTCAGGACTCTGAGATCACAATCCCAGCCCAAGGCAGACGCTTAACTGACTGAGCCACCCAAGCATCCATCTCCTTTATTTTTAAAGAATCTTTTCTGCTAGATATAGAGTTTGTAGTTTATAGGGCTTTTTTCTTTCAGCACTTTAAAGATATTATTTGATTACCTTTTAGCTTCCATTCTTTTTTTTTTAAAGATTTTATTTATTTATTTACTTATTTATTTGAGAGAGAGAGCACAAGCAGTTGGAGCAGCAGGCAGAGGGAGAGGGAGAAGCAGGCTCCTCAATGAGCAGAGAGATGGACATGGGGCTCGATCCCAGGACCCTGAGATCGTGACCTAAGCTGAAGGCAGCCGCTTAACCAACTGAACCACCTGGGTGCCTCTAGCTTCCATTATTTCTGATGTGAAATAATTTAAAATTCTTATAGATGTTGGGGCGCCTGGGTGGCTCAGTCAGTTGAGTGTCCAACTCTTGACCTGGACTTGAGTCTTGAGCTCAGGGTTATGAGTTCAAGCCCTGTGTTGGGCTCCACTGTGGAGCCTACTTTAAAAAAAAATCTGGGGTGCCTGGGTGGCTCAGTTGGTTAAGCGACTGCCTTCGGCTAAGGTCATGATCCCAGGGTCCTGGGATTGAGTCCCGCATCCAGCTCCTTGCTCTGCAGGGAGCCTGCTTCTCCCTCTCCCTCTGCCTGCTATTCCACCTGCTTGTACTCTCTCTGTCAAATAAATAAAATCATTTAAAAAAAAAGGATTAAAAATAAAAAAAAAATTTTAAAAAAATCTGTCCTGTGGTGCCTGGGTGGCTCAGTCGTTAAGCATCTGCCTTTGGCTCAGGTCATGATCCCAGAGACCTGGGATCAAGCCCCGCATCGGGCTCCCAGCTCCGCGGGAGGCCTGCTTCTCCCTCTCCCACTCCCCTTGCTTGTGTTCCCTCTCTCTCTGTGTCTCTCTCTGTCAAATAAAAAGAAAAAAAAATTCTTATAGATGTTCTCCTGACTCTAATGTGTCCTTGTTTTCTGTCTGCTTTAAGATTTATCTGTGGTTGGGGAAATTGGAGGGAGCGATGAACCATGAGAGACTATGGACTCTGAGAAACAAACAGGGTTTCAGAGGGGACGGGGGTGGAGGGATGGGTTATCCCAGTGATGTGTATTAAGGAGGGCACGTACTGCATGGAGCACTGGGTGTTATACAAAAACAATGGATCGTGGATCATGACATCAAAAGCTAATGATGGGGGCGCCTGGGTGGCTCAGTCGTTAAGCATCTGCCTTCCGCTCAGGTCATGATCCCAGGGTCCTGGGATTGAGCCCCGCATCGGGCTCCCTGCTCACCGGGAAGCCTGTTTCTCCCTCTCCCACCCCCTGCTTGTGTTCTGTCTCTCTCTGTCAAATAAATAAAATCTTTAAAACAAAAACAAAAACAAAACTAATGATGTCTGGTGACTAACATAACATAAAAAAGAAAAGATTTATCTGTGGTTTTCAGCAGTTTGATTCTCGTCTACTTAAATGTGGTTCTATTTGTATTTATCCTGTCTGAAGCTCTGTTGAATTTCTCAGAACTTTAAGTTGGACGTCTTTCAATAATTTTAGAAAAAATTCAGTTATTATTTATTCAAACATTTTTCTATCTACTCTCTTTCCTTCTGGGATCCCAATTACACAAATGTAAAACCTTTTGATATCATTCCACATGTCCTGGATTCTCTTCTTTTTTCATTCTATTTTTTTTCTATGCTTCAGTTTGGGTAATTTTTATTACCACTTTATATTATTGTAATTTAAGTTACATGATCTTTTTTTGTTTTGTTTTGTACATTCTGCTACTAAGCCCATCCAATGACCCTTTCATTGAAGATATTGTATTTTCCAGTTCTAGGATTTTCATTTGATACTTATAGTTTCCATCTATTTGCTGAGATCCTCCCATTTGTTCACCCATTCTGTTCTTCTTTTCTCATAAATCCTTTACTGTATTTATAATAGCAGTTTTAAATCCTTGTCTGCTAATTCCAACATCAGGGGCATCTGTAGGTCAGCATCTGTAGTCCATTTTCCCCTAGATTGTAAGTCATACTTTCCTGCTTCTTTGTATGTTATTAAATTTTCATTCTAGATTGTACTGTGAAAATTGTGGAGACTCTGGATTATGCTATCTTATTCTAAAGAGTGTTGAGTTTTGTTCTGGTGTATCCTTTGAAAGCTTTGTTTTAGGTTTTGTTAGGGTGGGCCTATTTTGTATTTCCCCTTCATCCTGTGGTAGTCTTTGATCATGATTTATGGTCCTTTTGACACTTTTTGGGTTTTAGTGGAAAACTTGAGATGTTTATAAATTCTAACTTGCTATAATTCAAATGCCAAATTCTGTCTCCCCAACACTTGGCAGCAGCCGAAATCTCTGCTCTACTCTTTCTTTCTAGTTGTTGCTTTTTTTCTGGATTCCTTGAAGTCACACCCTGGGTATGTATGGGTTAGGGGAGAACCAATGATCTGAGGGAATTTGTATGCAGATTTCAGAGCTCCCTGCTCCATGGCTCACTTCTTTCTAGGTTTTTCACCCTTAATTTCCAGCTACTCTAGCAGCCTTGAACTCTGACCCCTATGTCAATATCCCATTAAGACTTTCTGTTTCAGTTCTAATCTCTCAAGTGCCTCATGAACTGAAAAGTTCCTTTGGGTGAACAGCTGGATAAATGTGGAGCTCACCTCATTTTCTTCTTTTTTTTTCAGGGATTTTGTACCATTTGGTTTCTGCTTGTTTTTTTTATTGCATTACAGGCCTTAAAAGAGTGGTTTTAAAATATTTTGTCTGGGGTTAAAAAATGTTTTTGGTAGGAGAGTTAGTCTGATACAATCTCTTTTATCATTCCAGGAACTAGAATTCTCCTCATGCAGATATTTATCAGTTCTTTTTAGTGTAGTGCAAGTCAAATAAAGATCTGCTAACCCTCGGATAAGCCTGGAGTATGAAAACCCTGACATTTTTTGAGGAGATGGCAGCGTAGTTAGACATTGCTGTTCAATGAATACTGACTAGTTGTTTAATAAAATGTTTATTTTATTTAAAAAAATCTCTTAACCTAGGACTAGCATTTGACCTTTAAACTACTTGCTCATCCATCCCCTTCATTATCATGACAAGAAACAGGTCCATAGAGGTTGAACTTGCTCTGGTAAAGACTGACTAGATGCTCATAAAAGCTGTTTTCTTTTCCTCAACACAAAGTTAAAGTACATTTCCCAGCCTTCTTGTATCTGGATGGAGTTCTGTTACTAGATCCTGCCACATTTTCTCTTTTCTCCTCCTATCTACCAGGTAGGTGATGCCAGAGCAATTTTCTTCTTTTCTTTTTACCAGAGTAATTTTAAAGACACTTTTGATAATGGTAGAGCCACAATATGGAAGGAGCCTGGGTCTCTACATGACAACCTGGAGTGGAATTTTCTGCTGACCACTATTTTACTGTGAAATGGGCAAGAAAATAATCTTTATGTTAAGCTACTGAAATTTTGGATTTTTAAAATAGAAGTTATTGCTAATTATGCTAATTAATTTGCACAGGCAATACCCTAATTATTGGTAAAGATATGACTATAAATTAGTCCTCTGTTTCCTTGATGGTTAACAAATAAAATAGCACTCATATGTAACTTACATAATTATCATATTAGTACACTAGTTTACAACAGAATTTACAACAATTAAGAGCATGCCATTTTATTAATAGAAAAATGGTGACTTACCCAGAGATCGAATGCCTTTTTGTTCAAGAAAGCTGTTTAAAATATTTATATTAAGGTTTAATATAAATCCCAGTTCTGGCGTAAGTTTCCAGAAGCCATCCTATAAAATAAAACAAATTTAAGCCACATTATTGAAATTTATTCACATACATAAGAACTTAATATAATAAATGTTTCTAATTATTTCAATTCCGATAAATACCATCATCAAGCACACTGTATTGAAATTAAATTTTATTATCAAAAATTTTTATTATTTTTATTATTCTTAAAATGGAAGTTCTTCATATACTAGTGACTCAATATTTTTGAGAATCTCAAAAATACTATGGATGTTATGTATCAGGTGGCACTTATAAAAAGTATGGAAAGAGGCTCATGTGTAAGGATTTTTAAAAATGGTGTTATGCATTTTTTTCTTCTAGTAATGCTTTGAACTGATGTTTCTCAAACTTTTAAGTAGCATGATTCCTTTTGAGCAACATTAAAAATGTGCCTTTATGATGTCTGAAATATGAAAATGACATTTTTTTACTAAATATAAAATTGTTATGGTGAATATGCTTTTTAAAACTACCTTATTTATTCTCACTGTCCCCTGCCCACTTCAGCTAACTTTTAAGGCTGATGTTTTTTACATATTATGAGGTAGTTGTAAGCCTGAACATGGGGATCTTGAACTTGAAGTAGATCGACTCCAGGTCTCAGGGGAAATAATACAGGGAACAGAAAGGAGGGTGAGGTCATAGGCAGATGCACAGACTCTACAGCAATAATTTGAAAAATAACAGCAGTGATATATGCTAACTAGTGTTGAACTAGTTCTAGGTGCCGGGTTTTTTAAAAAAAATCTTTTTAGCCACTTCTTGTGGAGAGGCTATTACTATACCTTTTGCAGATGAGAACCACTTTTCAGATGAATACTGAGGCACAGAAAAGTTAAAGCAACTTGTTCAAAGTCACACAGCTAACAAGCAGCGGAGGCACAATTTAAGCCCCAACAGTCTGGCTCCAGGGCCCATGTGTGAGACTGGGTCTTAGTACCAGTGCAGGAACTATATTTATTGAATGTTTATTAGCTTCACAAATGGAATGATAATCTTTAACACAGTCTTACATGTTGAGTATTATTCCCAAGACCATATGTGAAAACAATCAGAATATACTTACAATACTTGTTCTTTATTTCACAATGGGAAGTTTACATGATTGCAATTCATCTATCTGTTCTAGAAGCTAGGAAATCAAGGTGTTACCCCATGACCTATTCAGGGATGCTAATTTTCAACTGAGGAATATTAACATTCACTTGCATGATATTCTGGACTAAAAATTAAAAATAGATAAATACCATCATCAAGCACACTGTATTGTTCAATGACTTTTTTCAAGCAAGATTTTCTCAGTGAAGGAAGCAGCATGTTGATTTACATTCTTCCACCAGTCACTTACCTCAGTAATGCCCTGGTAAACATTTCAATGACCAGCTACTTTGAATAGCTCTGTGCTGAACTCTAAAGCTAATTAACCGTAGACTTGGGGTGCCTGGGTGGCTTAGTCGTTAAGCGTCTGCCTTCGGCTCGGGTCGTGATCCCGGGATCCTGGAATCGAGCCCTGCTAGGGCTCCCTGCTCGGCGAGAAGCCTGCTTCTCCCTCTCCCACTCTCCCTGCTTGTGTTCCCTCTCTTGCTATGTCTCTCTCTCTGTGTCAGATAAATAAAATCTTTAAAAAACCAAAAAACAAAAAACCATAGACTTAAGGATAAATAAAACTAATACCTCAGTTTGTAGCCTGAAGAGTTCAGTCCAAGGCACAAAATTCATCCAGCTCTGTTCATCTTTTTGTGCCTGAAAGCTTGCAGTAAAGTCACTTCCTGTTATATCAGATTTTGCCACTTTTTTTCTTTTAAAAAAAGGACTTGCCAGAAATTTTGGTGTTTCATTATTTTCTGTTTCAGAAAAACTTCCATTACTTGAAGCAGATAATGAAATTCCAGCAGAAAGATCTGTACGGAAAGAACCCTCCAATTCAGTGTTAGCAAACAGATCTATTGGTGGCTTGTAACTGGCTCTGGAATGAACTGGAGAATTTTGAAAATAAAGAGGAGAACAAGAAAGGGAATGAACGTCAAACCCTCTGGATGGACCAGCAGAACTAACTCTACGAGGAGGCAGAAGAATATTCGGCTGCAGGGGAGAGTCCAACTCAGGGAAAATGCTAGCAGAATTGTCAGTCTTATGGCCTTGATAAGTTTCAGGTAGATTAACCTCTCTGGAGTTAAATGAGGTACTTGCAAGAGCAGAAAAAGCAAAGGAACCAAGACAGGTGGGAGGCAGTCTGAAAGGGGTACATGACACAGGGGTAATGTCACCCAAATAGTCAGCTTGAAGGTCTTGGTCATTCTTAGATGGATCAAACTGTTTGAGACTCCTAGCAACCTTCTTAGAACATAAGCGGGGAGGATGGCGGAAACCAGAACCGTCAAAGGGCTCATCTTCCAAACGGGCTGAACCACGGGCAGCAGAAATGCTGCAACAACCTGCCAGTTTCAGGAAAGGGGCATCTCTACATAGTGGTTGTTTAAATGAATCCATCTGACTTAAACCCAATGGCTTTTCCACATCTCCACATTCAAAGTTGAGTGTTAAAGGTTTTTCTGATAGTTGGGAACTATCTTCAAAATCTTCAGAATCTTGGGGGTATAGCTCAGTGGTAGAGCATTTGACTTCAAAATCTTCAGAATCTTCCAGCTGAGATGATCTAAACTTTCTGTTAGTCAAATGTGGTTGTTGCAGTTCTTCATTCCATTCAAAGAATGCTGAAAGAGGCTGTCCAAGAGGAAAAATATAATGTAAGGGAAAACACAAAATAAAACAAACAACCAAACACACTTCCTAGAGTTGACTTCTGGGTAGACAAGCAATTGCTTATCCTAGAGCATTGAAAGAGGAGAGATTGAAGATAATTTAAATACAATGCCCTTGTTATATAGATACAAATCTGAGATTTGGAGAGAATAGCAGTAATAAATACATCAAAAATCTTAGTTTCTCTTTGTTCTTAGCATGTTGAAACTTTGAATACCCCTCATTTTATACAAGAGGAAACTCAGGACCATCAAAGTGTCTTGTCCAAGATTTTATAATTAGCAGTATCATAGTGTGTAAATTAGCCCTAAAATAAGCTGATAATTTGAAATAAATTATTCTAGTCTTTTATTCTGCTTTACAGCAATATTAAGGAAATGAGATGACTGACAAAAAATTTCAAAAGCTTTAAAGTAACTGCATGAATATATCTTTACACCAGACTTTGAACAATATGTAAAACAAAAGGGAATTAAGGATGCTATGTTACTACTATTATTTGAATGTAAAGTCTTTCTTAAAAAGTTGTAAGTAAATAAAATTCAGTTTTATATGAATTACAAGTTTTTGAGATATTTTGGAAATAATTAGCCTGGCAGCACCTGGCTGGCTCAGTGGATAGAGTATGTGACTCTTGATCTCAGAGTTGTAAATCTGAGCCCCACATTGGGAGTACAGATGACTTAAAAATAAAATCTTAAAAAAAAATAATTAGCCTATAATTTTACCAATGTAAATCAGCTATTTTATTTTCTTTTATTATTATTATTTTTAAATCAGCTGTTGGTTTTTTTTTTAAAGATTTTATTTATTTATTTGACAGAGACAGCTGGAACACAAGCAGGGGGAGTAGGAGAGGGAGAAGCAGGCTTCCCGCGGAGCAGGGAGCCCGATGTAGGGCTCGATCCCAGGACCCTGGGATCATGACCTGAGCCAAAGGCAGATGCTTAACGATTGAGTCACCCAGGCGCCCCTTAAATCAGCTATTTAAAAAAAAAAAGAGTAGTTCTTTCCCAACTCAGTCATTTCCAGTATACATTTAAATAATTATACTGCAGAACATATGACAAGACACCTATTTGAAAATAATACTTAAAAACAATGTTTCTCTGGTTAAATTTCTTTTCATTAGATAAACTGAAAAAAAGCAATAGTGATAGACTAGACCTATTAGATATTAAAGCATTTTATAAAATTACAATAATTAGACACATCAATGGAACAGAATGGATAGTCCAGCAATAGATCCTAAAACACATGGGAATTTAGTAGATGATAAAGATGACATTTTAAGTAAATGGGAGGAAAAAGAATTATCCAATAAACGGTGTTGGGGAAAGCGGGTAGCTATCTGGAAAGGAATAAAGTTAGTTACATACTTCCCATCTTATACCAGGATAGATTCCAAGTGGATGAAAAATTAAATGTAAACAAGAAACCATGAACAATTTTAAAAAATAAGTAAGAGGAAACTTTTAGGAAGCATAGTCTCTGAATAGGAAAGGTATTTCTAAGCATGATAACAAAACAAAACAATATAAAACAAAAACAAGAAACCCAAAGATCAAAAAATTTGACTGCATTAAGAAATCTGCATGACAAAAAGATGATGAACCATAAAAGTGTCCTGTCCAAGATTTTATAATTAGCAGTATCACAGTGTGTAAATTAGCCCTAAAATAAGCTGATACAAAAATATAAATGGCAAACTGGGACACAAATCTGTGCAACTCAAATTACAAACGGCTAATTTCCCTAATATCTATTTTTCCTGAAATAAATAAGAAAATGACTAGGGGCGCCTGGGAGACTCAGTTGGTTAAGTGTCTGCCTTCGTCTCAGGTCATGATCCCAGGGTCCTGGGATCAAGCCCCACATTGGGCTCCCTGCTCTGTGGGGAAGCCTGCTTCTCCCTCTCCCTCTGCCTGCCACTTGCTCTCCCTGCTTGTGCTCTCTCTCTCTAATAAATGAAATCTTTAAAAAAAAAATGACTAACATCACAATAACAAAGGTAAAAAAAACATTAATAGATAACACATAGAGAAGAAGATATCTAGAGCTCTTAAGAATATGAAAACATGCGGGGCGCCTGAGTGGCTCAGTTGGTTAAGCGACTGCCTTCAGCTCAGGTCATGATCCTGGAGTCCCTGGATCGAGTCCCGCATCGGGCTCCCTACTCGGCGAGGAGCCTGCTTCTCCTTCTAACCCTCCCCCCTCTCATGTACTCTCTCTCTCTCATTCTCGCTCTCTCAAATAAATAAATAAATCTTTAAAAAAAAATATGAAAACATGCTCATCTTCATTCACAAAGGAATGAAAATTAAAATATCACTAATACATTTCTCACCTGTCTGATTTGCAAAGATCAAACATTTGAATGATACACTGGGTTAAAGAGGGACAGAGTAAAAGCCTCTTGCATGCTAGTGATGGGATTGTGAATTGACATAACCTACACAGAGGGCAATTTGGTTAGAGCTAATTAAAATTTTCAGAATAGATTTACTTAGGTATAATTGATGTACAATAAACTGCATATTAAAGTGCATAATTTGAGGGGGACCTGGCTGGCTCAGTCAGTACAGCATGTGACTCCCGATCTCAGGGTCGTGAGTTGGAGCCCCACACTGGGGGTAGAGTTTACTTAAAAAAAAAAAAAAAGTGTATAATTTGGTGAGTTCTGACATGAGTATACATCATGAAACCATTATCACAATGAAGAGAATGAACATAACCACCACTCCCAAGATATTCCTGTGCCCTTTTGTAATCCATCTCATTCCTCCCCTCGCTGTTGCCAGGCAACCACTATTTGCTTACAATAACTTCAGATTGGTTTACATGTATTTTGTATTAAAGGAATCATACAATTTCTATTTTTTGTTTGACTTCTTTTACTCAGCATTAACTGTCTTGACATTCATCCATGTAGTTGCATGTATCAACAGTTAATTCCTTTTTATTTCTGAGTAGTATTCCATCATACGGCAATATCACAGTTTGTTTATTCATTCATCTCCTGATGGTTCCAACTTCTGGCTACTACAAATAAAGCCACAATGAGTACTCATGTAGAAATCTTTGAACACACACCTTCATTTCATTTGGTTGGGTCAAATGGTTGGTGTAGGTTTTATTTTTTAGGAAACTGTCGAAGAGTTTCTAAAATGGTTGTGCCATTTTATACCTCTACCAGCAGCGCATGGGAGTTAGTGTTCCACATCCTCGCCACATCTAGTACTGTCAGCCCCTTTTAGGCCATTCCAGTGGGTATGGAAAGGTATCGCATCGTGGCTCCAATTTGCATATTCTTATATGACTGATGAGGTTGAGCATCTTTTCATATGCTTGCTTGCCATCTGTATGTCTTCTTTGGTAAAGTGTCTGTTGAAATCTGTTCATTATTTTATTGGGTTACCTTATTATTGAATTGTAAGATTGCTTTATATATTTTATATGTCTTTGTCAGATATGTTTTACAAATATTTTCTCACAAATGTGGTTGGCCCATTCATTTGCTTACTGGTATCTTCTGAAGAGCAAAAGTTTTTGATATAAATGAAGTCCAATTCACCAATTTTTTTAGAGTTTTTTTTTTTTTTAAAGAAACCTCTGTCCAACACAAATTCATTAACATTTTCTCCTACATTTTCTTCCAGATATTCTAGCTTCAGTTGTTACATTCAAGGTCTATATTCCAATCAATCTTTGCACATGGTGTGAGCTAAGGATAGAGGTTCATTTTTGTTTGTTTGGTATATGGCCATCCAATTGTTCCAGAACCATTTGTTGAAAAAGATCACCCTTTCCCCATTGAATTGCCTTGACACCTTTGTAGAAAATCAGTTGACCCCAATATATGTGGATATATTTCTAGACTCTCTACTCTGTTCCAACGGTTATATGTTTCAGTGGTGTTTCTGTGGTGCAGATGTCTATTTTACACTAATATCACACTCTCCTAATTACTGTAGCCTTATAATAAGTCTTGAAATCAGATAATGTAAGGCGTCCAGCTTTTTCTTCTTTTTCAAGGTTGTTTTGGCTAACCAAGATCCTTTACATTTACATATACAATTTAGAATCAGTGTGTCAATTTCTAAACAAAAAACTTGCTGGGACTTGGAGTTGGATTGAACTGAATCTATAGATTAATCTGAGGAGAATCAATATCTTAACAATACAGAGTCACTTAATCCAAGAACATTTATTTAGGTCTTCAATTACAAATTTCTCAGCAATATTTTATAATTTTCAGTGTACAGGTCCTGCTTATTTTGCCAAATTTGATTCTACGTATTTCCTATTTTCTATGATATTATAAGTGGTATTGATTTTTAAATTCCAATTTTTGATTGTTGCCAGTATACAGAAGTCCAGTTGGTTTCTAATATTGACCTTGCATCCTATAACCTTGTCATTAGTTCTACTAGTCTTTCTATGGAATCTTTAAGATTTTCTACAGAAATAATTAGGTTGCTTATGAGTAAAGACAGCTCTACTTCTTCCTTTCCAATATGTATGCTATATATATATATATGTATATATATATACATGTGTGTATATATATGTGTGTGTATATATATATATATTATAGACATATATACATATACACATTTTTTTCTGCTTTAGGTACCAGCTACAGTCTTCTATGCAATGTTGAACAGAAGTGGTAAGTTCAGACATCCTTTTTTTTTAAAGTACATCTGTTTAATTATATTATAATTATATTTTAACCATTAATGCAATATGTCTCAATAATTTCATTCCTATAATAAAAAAATAATGGTATAATGATGGTTTAAAGCTGGTTCAATTGCAATTTTAGAGGCTTAATTATCAAAAGTGAAAATAGAAGACTATTAAAATAGCTAAAAAAATAACGTGTCATAGTGCTAAATGTTTCTGTAACTATTGGTAAGGCTTACATCTAAATTTGATGCAGAATTCTTTTTTTTTTA